AACAGCATTTCATTAAGGTTATTTTGATTTTCCAACCCGTACAAATTACAGAAGAAATGTGTTTGTTCCATGAACAAATGTGGGCAATCAACATTACCTTGCAAATGGTATGTAGGAAATGCTGTACCTAGAAAAGGAATAGCACAAATTCCTTCATTAGCAAGTACAAAAACAAAATCACCTTCCCCTCACAATCCAATATTGTTAACAGTCTACATTATACATGACAGAATGCAAATGCTGGGCAGCAGATATATACTGCAGTGTACCAAGTTATGCCATGCTGGAATATACTAAGACTAAGCATTGTTTTGATTTTAAAATCAATTTATATATGGCTGACTTCTAGGGTAGCAATGACTAATCTCAGGGACAGGGGAATGAAGTTCCAGGGAATAAGGGCAACAGAACTTTCTCTGTGTCACTTTGACCATGGCTGACCAAGAAGATAAATGCTCTGCATTCAAAAAATGAACTTTGTCAGAACATTTGTAATATCATATTTCACTGCAAGTGGAAAGATATGTAAACAGAAATGTAAGTATTATATGCCCACAACCATGTCTCCCTATAGATTTTTATTCTATACAGATGATGTGAATTTTTCATTATATTGGATGAAGGGAGTTAGTGAGAATGAGAAACTATGTCAAGAAAGTAATTCATCTCCATTCACATAAAATTTGACAGTGGAACTAGTGGCCTATTTTATTAGATAATCAAAGAAGATCTAGGGTATCAATGTGACTGGAATTAAACATAGATTGCTATTATATACTTGGTTCAACACTGCTAAATTAGTAGGTTATTCAACCAAATAAGTAATATGTTTTCTTTCAGATTCAAATTATTTTAGGAAATCCGTAAGAATGGATTTATTGTTCATATGTTCTTAAATACCTTCAAGTAATAATTCTAGCAAAAACTGCTTTGGTGAGCTGAACATTATAAATGTTTGAGCATATTTGTATGGATGGCTGCATAACCTAGTGACTTTACAGAAAATAAAAATGTTAAAATCAATGCATCTAAATTGATTTTCATACATGCATATGCAAGTGTATAACATCCAATATCAATTCATCTTCAATATTTTAAGAAGCTTAATAAGCGACTGAGAAAGTTTTTATGGGATTAGCAGACTGTTTTCTTTAACTAAATTACCATCTTCACATGAAAAAGGAAATTTTAATCTGGATTTTCAGTGATATCATTGAAAATCTTTTTGGTATTCAAGTGATATTTTTTTTAAAAAAAGTATGAGTATAACTGAAAAATTATTTGACTCTCATAATATTTCGGTTGGAGTCTGATTTCTCTTTTAGCTGATATTGATTTGTTTTTATCCTATTAGTCTACTAATCATATTTGGAGCATTTAGGATAGAAGCTTAATTCTGAGTCCTGTTTACAAGAAAAACTCATACTTTAAATAAGTGTAACTTAAAGATTACAATAGATTTTTTTAAAGAACCAGGGCGCAAAAGAGTTTAGTACCTTAAACTAACTTATTGTCCTTTTCACTATTGCAACAAAAATTTGAAAATAGCTAATATATTCATTTGAAACCTGCTTTACTATTCAGTTTGGGCCCTGTTCAGCTTCTGAATCCCACAAACTATGTGTTTTACTGGAAAATACATTGAAGATTTTAAATTAATAAACTATAAACTAATTCATGTGGGGGGGGGGGTTGCAAGATTTTGGAAATGTCCTTTTCCTAGGATCGTGAAGAGTGACAGAGAGAGAGATTGGCTTAGGTGCCCAGCTGGTTTTGTACCTAAGGCTGGACTATCTCCCAGTTTCTAACCTGCTGCCTTTAAATATTACTCCAAACTGACTCTTTAATAAAACTTTAGAAGTAAGATTCATATGCCAGGAATAACCAGGAGTTCAAATGTGGAATGAGTCAAATCTCATCAGGTAAGAGATAAAATGTTCATGCAATCCTGCATATCACTGCCTTTGCTATATGCAAATGTGGGCATGGTTTCCTCATGTGAAATCCAATAAAAACAGGTGCTTAGGGCAATGCCTTCAAAATTCCTAGGGGATGAGGAAAAAATATCTTGTTTTCATTATGGCATACTGTATGTGAGAAGGATTCAAGGTATATGGAGATACAAGAAAGGCTTTTGTTCCTAAATGCACAAGAACTTCCAATTATTGCCAAAGACCCATGTACACAGGAAAAATGAGGTGATACATACCATGCCAAGGCAAAGAATTGTAAAATGCAAAAGAGGATAGTAAGCCCTTTATTATGCCACTGAAAAGAAAAAGAAAAAATACAACTTAAACAACAATTATTTACAAATAATTTTATCAAGACATATCAGTCACATTGTAAATTTGATTACTTACCCAGAAAGCTGCACACAGAGTTAATATGAGGCATAGCTAAAAAAAAATACAGAAAGAAAGTCTTTGAATAAGAAATGCTATCTAATTAAATAGCTGGAAATAAAATACTGGACTAAATATATTTAATTTATTTAAGGAAGCGTATAAGATTGCTTTAATAGTAATAGTTAATCTTGAAATAAATAATTAAAAAGCAGATGTGTTCGTAATTTAATGAAGTTTAATGAAGAGAAGGACGAGGGGGGAACATCATAGCAGTGCTCCAATATCTCAGGAGTTGCCACAAAGAAGAGAGAGTCAAGCTATTCCCCAAAGCACCTGAAGGCAGGACAAGAAGCAATGGATGGGAACTAACCAAAGAGAGAAGCAACCTAGAACTAAAGAGAAATTTCCCGACAGAACAATTAACCAATGGAACAACCTGCCTCCAGAAGCGGTGAATGCTCCAACACTGGAAGTTTTTAAGAAGAGACTGGACAGCCATTTGTCTGAAATAGTATAGGGTTTCCTGCCTGAGCAGGGGGTTGGACTAGATGACCTCCAAGGTCCCTTCCAACTTTATTATTATTATTATTATTATTATTATTATTATTATTATTATTATTATTATT